TAAATCAGAATTCCCTTTTCCTGACTATTAGTGCAAAGCAATATACCATAACTAGCTAAGAAATAGTCAATATAAAGAGTAAATAGAAACTTCTTCCTCTTTTTTGTAAGGAAAATACGTATTTTGAAAGTGGAACTTGATAATGTGTATGAATTGCTAATTACAACATAAGTTTTAGAAGGACTGTCTTAGCTGTTTTTTATCTTCTTTGCATTCATTACTCCCTTTCCCCTATTCCAATTGATTTATGTTCCTATTATTAAAAGAAATCTTCCAGTCTATAAATATAACAGTAATTTTTGTCTGATTTTCACAGTATTTAAAATTTTTTCTTCAATAAATAATATTATTCATTTTAAATATACAGAGGAAGGTAGTTTGTATGTACTTTTATCAATCATTTCCATTAATGTAAATAAGTTGGGAGTCTATAAATAAATTTAGAAATGAGTTAAAATTCACAGTATGTTTTGTTTGTAATATTTTTCAAAAACTGTTTTTTTTCCTGAGGCTCACAATTCTAGAATTAATTTAAAAACTCATAATTATTTCCTTACTCATATTGAATTCAAGCTAATGACCCACAAATCAATAACCTCTTGCTATTTTACTTACATTCTAGCCATGTTTCTGCAACAAGCTACAGGACATTCAAAATTAGATTCCCCCTTCCCCATGCCACATTTTGCAAATAATATTTATCTCCTTCCTCCTAAAACTGACTCCTCTACACAATTCTTCTCATTTCTGCAAGTGGTTTTTATTATTGTTCCAGTCTCATGAGCTTGAAAATGTACTTCTCCTTTCTCCTTTATTTCTTCCTCCTCTCCAATAGCTAAGAAGTCTTATTAGATCCTCTCCACAGTGTCTTAGGCTTGTTCCTTTCTTTCCAATCTCCTGCTGCCCATCACAGTAAAGACCTAGATTACCTCATTAAGCTCCCATATTGGTTTCCCAGGGCATCGCTCAAATAGACATAACGTTGCATTGAATAGGTATAACATTATCCTTGCCTCAAACATCTACCATTTAATCTGACCCCATTTATCTTTAGCTATTTTACCTTATCCATTTTGAACATGAACTCTCCCCCTCAGCTCAATTTGAGATCCTCACCATCATTCCTTCTCTTCTCTTTCTGTATAGCTACCTTTGTGCTGGGAGTCCTACCTTGGTCCAAATGTCCTGGTTTGCTTGAGACTGTCCGAGTTTTGTCCATGAAAGTTTGTGTTCCAAGAAACCCCTCAGGCCCAGGCAAATGGACACAGTTGTTCACCCTATCTACTTCCCTCATTCAATGAACATATTTTTATAAATTAGATCTACTATGTTGTAGGCACTATGCTAAGTGCTAGAGAGGTAAGAGTGAGTAAAAGATATTCCCTATCCTCCAGTAGTTTAGAATCTATAGGTGAGAAATGCAATTACAATATGACATAACACATTGTAATATATTAATAGTAAGTACAAGGGCACCATGGGGATTCAGAGAAGCCATCTTAGTAGAAAGAATGTTTCAAGGACAAAACCAGGACAGTCTCCAGAAAATTAGGATAGTTAGGCTGGGAGTAGGATTCCCAGCATGGTGTAGCTATATGGAGAGAGAAGAAAAGGGATGATGGTGAGGATAGGAAATGGATAGGAGCCAGGTGTAGTGAGGATATATTTTGGGACAGCATGACTTCCAGTTAAGAAAAAGCAAAAGTTTTTACAAAGGCTGGAAGATTGAATGAAGGGTATACTCTAGAACTTCAAGTAGTTTTATCTGTTTGTCGTGTAAGAAGGATGGGAATGAATGAGTGTTGATAGATGTGTTCTAAAAAAGATGTCATATTAGGAAGAGTTATAATTGTCTAGCCAGACAAATCTCTATGATTTAGAATTTACATAGGATCATGCTAAGTTGTGAGTAGAGTAGCAACAGAATTGGATTTAGAAAGATCACTTTGCACAACATGGATTAGTAATGGTAAAGCAGTATGTCATAAGACGGGAAGATGAAAGAACAACTAGGAAGCTATTACAGTATTTATTCTCATAGCTAGCCTTTTTTCAGATATTCTGTATCTGAAATATTACTCTCTGAATTTTTTCCAAATTTACCTATTGGACAAGGTCTGATAATGTCTCACCTTCTCAGAGTCCTTTCCCTGCTCTGATCTCTTGCTTTTGTGGTCTAATTGCATCGGTGACCATCATCTTTTCATTGAACTGCGGCCCTCTAACAAACTATTCTATTCTCCTGACTTGTCAGTTACAAGAAGCCTAAGGTTATCTTTCTCTCACCTTAGGACTATCACAAAGCAAATAGTTAAAAAAAAAAAAAGATTAAATTTTTGCTTCCTGATTATATTCCAAGTTTTTAGTGCTAAAATGTTAATTAACATTAATTCTAAAAAAGTTGTCTTTCATTTATGCATAATTTCAAATATTTCAGTACCTCAATTTTAACTAGTAAAGTTTCTATGAGGGGAAAATGACATTTCCAGAAGAATTAGCTGCTTAACTGTAGCTTCATATTTGCAGCTTATACTTTCTCTTCTAAAGCGCCAATAGCAGAAAAGGTAAATGGTGCCTTAAGATTGGAAGGTGGACTTATGCCTTCGTCTGCCCACTTCTAAGACCTGTACATACTCTCTCTTTTGCCTCCTCTTTCTATCTTCCAGACTTTTTTTTTCTGTGAATGGAATGAATGGTAGTGATTGGAAAGAAAAGTACTTGTCTGAATTGAAGAGGCTGTGCTGCAAGGGATAAGATGAGACCAGCCGTTACCTGCTCTGTCACCCTCAACAGTTGTCTGATGCTAGGGAACTTTCCAACCAAGTTCTGGTTCATATGTTCCGTTCTATTAGTCTAAAGGTAATAAGATCTACTACATGGTAGGATTATAGTGAGGGCTAGAATTAGGGAACATAGTTGGTACTCCCATGTATGCTAGTTATAATAATGATAATAGTAATTATTATTATCCTATTTATAAAAGTAAGATCGAATTAGGGAAAGTTGAGGATGTGACTTTTCAGATTGTGCTTATGTCTTTATCAAGGACATTGATGATTTCCAGTGTTACATGGGCTATCACCAGGATTTGGGGAAGAAGTGAAATACGAGATTTAATGGGCTTTAAAACTTTTCCATCTCCATTTCTGAACCTCTTCTTCCTCTTGTTCTTCTTATCTGCTTCACACATACTCAGTACTGTCATGTTGCTCTTTGATTAACTTAAGTTCATCTCCTCTTTGAGAACTGCATTATTTCATTCTGCAAATTAATTTCTCCCACCTCTACCTAAATCAGAATTCCCTTTTCCTGACTATTAGTGCAAAGCAATATACCATAACTAGCTAAGAAATAGTCAATATAAAGAGTAAATAGAAACTTCTTCCTCTTTTTTGTAAGGAAAATACGTATTTTGAAAGTGGAACTTGATAATGTGTATGAATTGCTAATTACAACATAAGTTTTAGAAGGACTGTCTTAGCTGTTTTTTATCTTCTTTGCATTCATTACTCCCTTTCCCCTATTCCAATTGATTTATGTTCCTATTATTAAAAGAAATCTTCCAGTCTATAAATATAACAGTAATTTTTGTCTGATTTTCACAGTATTTAAAATTTTTTCTTCTTTGTTCAAATGCCATGTTTCATAAGGTTTGATATTGCCTTGAACAATACCTGTTTAACTTTTAAATTTATGAGGTATATTAGGTGCAGTTTATCTTTTCATGTGGTTAGAAATTTTAAAATGATCTGTGATCTTTTAAAATTAAAGTAGAAAAGCAGTGAAGGATCAGAAATTTCCAAAGCTTAAAATTTCAGACTTTAAAATATTATCATGAATTTTGTTAAAATCATTTCTTCTTTTTCATACAACCATACTTTAGCAAGGTGAATAAAATGACATATTTTCAAAGATTTTTTTTTTTTTAAACAGGTGATCAAGTGGTCTGGATTGGATACTATGGCTTAGTGTATAACCTGGTGAAAATGTCATGGGAACTTCAGGGAGATGAGGAACAGGATGGACTTAGAAACATAATATGGCAGACATTGCAGAAAACAAAGGAGTATGAGAAAGATGCACGAATCCAAAATGCAATAAATGTAGCTCAGGTAAGGTAAAACATTGGGCAATAAATTGGTCCTTCTATCATGAGGAAATGTGCTTGTCGTTTCTCTCCATGGAAAAGTAATATCCACATTCAATGAGTATTAGCAGTTCATAGTTGAGAATGTATTTTTTAAATTTAACACTGACCTATTTTTGATTAAAGATAAGAGGGTTGAGCTCTAGATGGTGGCATAAAAACAGTTCTCCAAAAGTCTTTAACAAAGCAGAATTAAATAGCTTTAACAAATCTAGGGGAAAATGCACCTTAGTGAGGAATGATTCCACCACAGAACTCTAACTTCGTGGAAAGTTCTGTTAGATGTGTTAGGTACACCCTATAAAAGTATGATATCAGGCCCTGATTCTTTTTTTGGTGAAGAGGTTTGGAAAGTAATGGAAGTTTTAGGGAGCATAACACATACCTCTAATTTGAAGGCTATTTGTTAGGATGGACTGTGGAAAAGATGCATAGAGACACTTTCCCCGCCTCATACTCACAGCTGTCAGAAGAGGCGGGCTGTGGGCAGGATTCTAGTAGGAGGGCCAGGGGCTTTTCTATGATGTAGCTTTCTATGGATGTTGGGAATCCAGAGACCTGTTGTTCTTCAGGTGTTTCCTCTCTCTTCCAGTTCAGTGGGCAGAAATATCAGGAAGAAGGCTGATGTTCAGCCTTGACATTGGACCAGCGAGAGGCTAAAGGTGGCCCTAACTTCAGTTATTTTAACAAACTGAAAATAAATAGGTAAAGGGAAAAGTTCTTGTGTTGGGTTGCCCTCTGATTCCAAGATTTCTCCCCTCTTCTCTCGGCCTGTTTGATAATTGCATTTGTCAATAGAACCTATATCTCCCGGCCCTCTAAATTACAAGTTAGAACCTAATGGGCATCCTTTAGTTAGTGAGAGAACCCAAGGATATTCTACTTTTGTAATATGGGTAATAACATACTAAAGAACTACCTTATTAAAGGAAGAACACACAAAAACGTCATTTTTTTTCGATGCTAGATCCCAATACACACAGTAGATGCTCAATAAATAAATTTTTAATCAATGATTACAAGTAGGCTCACTTTAAATGTTAAAATAAATCCTAAGACCATGTTTTATAATTGAATTAACTTTAATATTCATTAAATTTATAACAAAATTCTTCTTAAAAATAAAAATTAATTTTGTTGTTAAAAATAACAAAGTTAATGAGTAAAATCTGGAATCATTTGGAAATTAAAATGTGTCTTAATAAACAAGTATTAGTACTAGGAAGAAATTGATTAACCCATTCGTTAGCATTAGCCATTGTTTTGGGTGCTGTTGTAAATAAGCAGATATATATTCTTTCAAATATAACTTGAATTTTGGACCAGGGAGACTGACAATAAACTTTCAAAACAACAAATTACAATATAATATCAAATGGTGCTATCTACTATAAAGGAAATAAAATAGAACAAAGCCACTGGAATGTGACTGGGTAGAGTGGGGAGTTGATACTTAGCTAAAATGGTCAGGGAAGGCTTTCCAAGGGTGCAGCATTTGAAATGAGACCTATATAATGGGAAGAAAATGCCCATAAAAACAGTATACTCTGATAGAGAAGACTGCAAAGCCTCTGAAACAAGAATTAGTTTGAT